GTCTGCTCCAAAACATATATATATATATATATAATTTATTTATTTTTTTTTTATTTTTTTTTTCAACAGACGACTTTCAAAAACTTCCAAAAAATTTTACTGACCCAAACTTTTGAATGATAGTGTATATATTAGTTTATTAGTTGTATTTATCTTAAATTGATCTGTTTAAGTTTAGAGTCATTCACATTCACAACTCATTTTATACGTAATATGACTCATTTGCGCTAAACGTGATATTTAACAAGAAAATGTAGGACGAGACTTGATATTATTAAAATATATATTAAATTAGAAAATAGTTATTTAAATTATTCCTGTGATACTGATGATTTTTTTTCACAGAGCAGCCATTACTCGATTCATTTCTTATTATTAATGATGTATTGCTCTTATCTGTACGATCAAAAATTTGGGTGTTATCAGGAACAAAACGCCACAAAACACATGTTTGTGGACCCCAGAGGATTAATGTGAAAAACAGTTGTGCTGCCTAATATTTTTTGTGGAAATCATGATACATTTTTCATGATTCTTTGATAAATAGAAAATTCAAAAGAACAGGATTTTTTTTTTTTATAGAAATATTTTGTAACATTATACAGTAAATGTATTTACTGCCACTTTTGATCAATGTAATGCATCCTTACTGAATAAAAGTATTAATTTCTTTAATTAAAAGCAGCATTTCAATAAATATGTCACTGTAATAAAGGTCTAAAATGCTGCACAGGAAATGACTCAAAAGAATCAGTGAATCGTTTTCTGAATCAGTTCTGATTCGGTGAAACAAACTGAACTTCACAACACTACATTCTATAATAGCATGTTAGATTATATCACTACTTTGTTGGAAAAAGATCTTTGTAAAAGCTGGGAAAGCTTCGAAAACAGCCGAACTCCTGACACACCACTAAATATGCAGTTGAAGTCAAAATGAAGCATCAAAACCCATTTTACTTCCATCCGAATGAACTAATTCGCTAACACTTTAGAGTAAAAATTGTGAAAAATGCCAAAAACAAGCAAGGTAGCCATGTGGAAAATTGTAGTTACTGGAAAAGCTAAAAAAAAAAAAAAAAAGACAGTCTCACTATTTTTTCTTAGCTACTGCTCAACTCAAATCTAAGTTCATCTAAAACACCCATCACACACTCTAATGTTCAACCACAGAGACCTTTACATGCGCTCTGGGAACTCACATGAGCCTATAGAAAGGACTCAACACACAATAACCCCTCTAGAAAAATGCTTTTACTGTCTGGGCTTTGCAGTGGCCCGCTACGGAGGCTCAATCAGGACAATCGACAGGAAGGAACATGACAATGACCAAAAAAACAAAACAAAGGACTTTGTGAAATATCCGTTTGCAGATGGGGGGAGGGAGCAGGGAGCGTTTCTCCTCACCAGCCGTCTGAAGTTGCCCGGGCTGGAGTTTTCTGAGTTTATGATGGGGATGTAGTCGCCCGTCAGCACGTACATCTTCCATGTAGCCGTACAGCTGTCAGACTTCTCGCAAGCGTAGCACCTCCACAGTGTCTGAATGTGGGACAGAGTTATTTACGGTGGGTTAAGAAAGAAATGTGCATTGTGTCGTGGCCGTAGCATCAGCTGAGTGAGCGAGAAGTTGTTAGTCACCTGTATTAGAGAGGCTGCAGCTGGAATCTGCCGGTTAAAATGCTTCTGTCTCTGTTTCTGCTGGACTTTAAGAGCAAAACCAGATCCCAGAATGCCCTGCACGCAGAGGAACAGTTCAAATGTTTGGCTACCAGAAAATAAATAAACTAAATGGAAAAACTCACACTTATATCATGCATTTTATTGATTTATTATTGAAATTATCATAGTACTGTTAGATTAGGCCAAATAAGAAGTACAACTAATATATATA